AAAAATTACTTCCACCAAATGACCAAAATGGTACACTTCCGTCTTTAAACGCAAGATGAGGACCTTTAAACGATAGTTTATATTCAAATTTTTTCACTAATTGTGGATTTGCTACAGATGGATCAGTATAAGGAAAAACATATACAATCGAACAATATATTGTTAAAAGAAACAGATAAGCATTCATTTCAAAAGCTTATGGATTTAATGTAACAAGTGATTGGAATATGAATAAATATCTATAATTAAATTCTAAAAATACAAAAAGAAGAACAATCTCAGAGTGAACAATCATGTATATATGTATGTATGTATGTATGCCTGCTTGCTTGCATCCCAATGGTAATGAGTATTTGACGTATCAAAAATTTTGTTTTATAAATTAAATAAAATCATTTTCAAAAAACAATATTATTTTTAAACATAAAATATCATTGATTCTTATTTAAAGTAATAAATTTTTTAAAATAACACAAATTAAGATTGTTATTCATTGGATTAATTTTTTATCCAATCAAATTCTTCTCTGGAAATTTTAATTCAATAATAAAATATCTTGTGATAATAGTAATCGATTTTTTTGAAAAAATAACAACAGTTTCTTTTCTATTTCCTTCTCTTCCATATATGTAAATGAGTTCAACAGTTTCTTCTATATTTAATACAAGTAAGATATCAGATCATCATAAATTCAATGAGGATATTAATCTTTATGAATTATTTTCACCATCATTATCAAATAATACACCAATATTAACATCAGCTTTTAATAGCTGTTATCAAAAAGCACTTCTTTCATTAAATGTACATCTTGATGATATAGATGCACAAACATTATCATCTATAAAAAAAGATTTATCATCATATAATGTAAAGGAAGATGATTTTGATGAAACTGTTTTTCGAAATCGTTCATTAACTCCAACATCCACAACACTATCCCAATGGCGTCATGAACAATTTGTAAATGAAAAATTTTGTCGATTACTTATTCCAATTGTTGCAGAAAATATGTATTCAATTGTTTTACATTGGATTGAACTTGAATTACACAATGAAGAAGAACGTGATAGTAAAAATGAACAAAATAAAAATGATTTAAAGAATAAATTATATGAATTAAAACTTATAGAAAAGTCAATTGATATTGAAAGACTATATGAATTAAGTGGAAATTCAAAAGATATTTTAATTGAACAAGTTGATTGGAAATCCGTTGGAACAAAAATGAGAAGTAAAGGTGGTTTTAAATATTTTGATGAATATTCATTAAAACGTATATGGAAACATCGATGTCAATATGGATTAAATAATTCATGGTCAGATGATGAAGATAAATTGTTAAACCAATTAGTGGAACAATATGGTTATGGAAAATGGATAGAAATTTCACAAAATGAAATATTTCAAGTAAAAAATATTTTTTAAAAATGATAAAAAAATATACAACGAATTGTTTTATTATTCAGAAAAATAACAAATCAGCATATATGTGCGCACAACGGTATATGTCAAAAAAGAATAAACTATATTCAAAACGGTAACGAAAAAAATAGAAGGCTTGATGAGTTTTACAGTTAGATGAACATTTAAGACTTCCTATTTCGTTTTTTTTTATCTTCATATAAAAAGAGCGAACTAGATTATTTCATGAGAATTTGAATAGGTGATAAATTATTAAAAGAGACACAAAGTGTATCGAAAAGTCTAACGAAGAAAAACATGAATAGCTCGTCAGCAATTCAAAGCAGTTAAATAGCTTTTGTTCTAGCTTGATCACATATTCATTAAAATTTTCAGATAAAATATTTGTATCTACAGGATTTAGAATTAACATAATGGTTGGACCAGAATAAATGGTCGTGTTTTGTATTTTATTTTTTTCATCATCTAATACGTATTATTCAATAGCAAAATATACTTGAAGATGTAGCGTGAAACGAGCTACAATTTATCATACAAAACTTATTTCAAATCGATACATTTTTAGTTTTCAAAATAGATCAAATTCTGTTTGACCAAGTTTCGACGCTGCAAACAAGGTCATTTGTCAGTATACGATGAATTACTTTTCTTATTTCATCAATTAATGAATCATAGTTTTTAACTTTATTCCATTGGCCATGTTTCGTAATTGTTTAACAATTTCAACCGATGTGATACCTAGAGATCTGCACCGAACTCCGACTCCACCGAAGTCAAAGTTAATGAAAATTAGGAAGGACTGCAAAAATTCTATTCCATTCTGCTTTCATGAAAAAATTGATTTTAGAAATTTTAATTTACAGTTAGTGAAAACTGCAAGTCTAGTTCTCAAACTGCATCAAATAGGAAAATAAAAAAAGTACAAGAACAGCTGCATTAGATTAACCATAAAAAGTGGCAATTGCTTAAATACATCACATGCGTTTTAGAGAACTGTTTCACTTGAATTTCCTGACAATATCGAAACTGAATCAAAACTTCATTTTTCAGTTGATGTCCTCTTGATCTCAAGAAATTCTTTGAATAAAACTGAGTTTTTAAAATGCGATTGTTGATGAAAATTCGGTGGAAATTTTTCCAAAACTTAACTTTTATTGGACGTTTTTTTCGCACTGATTTAACAGAATTACCTTTTGTTAATTTAAATTAGAATTTCTTCTCGCGATAAGAGTTTAGCATTCGTTTCAAGTTTCTTTGGTCGTCAAAAAAAAATTTCAAAAACAACTAGTTTTGATTTCCTATCTGACATTCAAACTATCTATCCACTTATATATACATAATACTGCCGCACACGAAAACTCACTAATATACGGAAAAAAAGTTCGGAGTTTTTTCGGAGTCGAACTCAATAAAAAAATAATTTCGGAATCGGAGTTAAAAAAATATGACTCCGCAGGTCTCTAGTCATACGATCATCAATCATTCACATAATTACTTTTCGTAGGTTTTTAGATTTTATCTTTTTTTATTAATTAACATACTTACACAGATATGATTTGTTGTCATGAAATTGGTACGTCTCTCCAAAAAATGACATCAAAATGAGTGAAAAAAAAATAATCGAAACACAGTATCAATTAGTCTCGAATGGACCATCGCTATGCCTTATTAATCGAAGAAATGAGAAAAAAATTTGTTTATAGCAAAAAATAACTTTCTTTCAGTATTGTAGTTTAGTCGCACAGAGTTTTGTATATTTTGACAACTGAAGGTATATATATATATAATAAGCATTGTATTGTGAATTGGAAAGTTTTTCACAATACATCTTGTGACATATTTTGATTTTCAATAAAACGCATTAGATGAAGAAAAAATAAATTAGAATACGCGATCATTTATTCTGGTTCACCAGTTAATCTTACTAATGGCCGAATTTGAATAGCTACCCTTATAAAACGAAAATCAACAATTCTACGAAGAAGAGTTACATAGATTGAACACTTGATCCTGGCTCATTTTTACAAAAATCATTATTTCTTTAGTCATTACTCAACGGTCATCAGTTTTTGACAGTACTAGTTTTTAAAAATTGCTGGGATGTGTTGCTAATGTAATGTTTACTTGGCGAATTTTTTCATAATTCAATTTCTAGTAATAGTTTCAGAAATGGTGACTTATTCAAATTTAACCATGAATGAGACTACGTTAATTTTGACTTCTTTAGATGCAAACATTTTATCTGAAAAATTTAATGAGTATGCGATCAAGTTGTAAAAAAAATATTTAAATTCTTTGAATTACCGAGAAGATAGTCACATTTTTCTTTTTTTTGTCCTGTCTTTTGGAACATCTTGTAGAATTTTGAGACATGTAGAAATAAATGTAGTACGAAAAATAAGAATATAAGTATTTTCAATTACCAAATTTATTATGAATACAATAACAGTCATACATATACACAAAATAGAATAAATAGTAGAAACAGAGAGGTGTGGATTATGAGTAGATGAAGAGAAAGCATACACTTATATTCTATTTTATGAGGGTTCTCAGTATATGGGATCATTTTGATAACACATAATTATTATTATTATTATTTAACGTTGTCTTGTCGATCAATTAGCTTTTGTAGATAACTACATTATCTGTCACAAATGCACCATATATTACTCATAAACACTAATTCTCTACCACTCATTTCACATTAATGCATGTTGTGATCAAAAGACAGTTTTGTTAAAAACATCACCGAAAGAGCTAAAGTTATTTTAGATTTATTCAATGATGAACATATCGATAAGAAGTACTCAGTAAATTAAATTTTCTTATTAACTGTTGTCTGTTTATCAGTTAGTCTTATGATTTCTGAGAGCAGAATTATTTAATGTACTCAACCAAGTAAATGTCACTCTGTTTCAATAATCTTATTAACGCGTTGAAGTGCAAAACACGTTTTTTTTCTTTTTTCTGGTTTCAAGCAAAATGTAATTAGAGCGCATAAAATCCAAGGAATATACGTAATTTGACAATTGACACAATAATACACTCAAAGTAACCTAATTATAGGTATCAGCAGACATATCAGTGTGAAGTTTAAAGTTAAAGCACTTTGTTCGAACATATCAAAAATTAATTGTGAGACATTCTTCAACACACAAATTAAGCTTTAATCTATGAACTTTCTTTTTTTCTGTAAGTATAATCTTGAACATTCAAATAAAAGAAATTAACAATGATGATAGGATTAATTAAATATTATTCAACTTCTCGTACTATATTCTTAAAGAATCTTGTAATGAAACTAAGAATGCGTTTCTTAAAACATTTCCTAGATCAAGTACAATATAACATAATTAAAAACAAAAAAAAATATTCACTTTTTTAAAGACGTAATTTTCTATAGTCATGTTTCCAAACGTTTAGCAATGCCAACTAATTATTGGATGTGTTGACTATTCACATGTATATAGTTATTGATCTGCTCAGTTTAACATTTTCGATGAGTGTGAAAAAGCATTTCATCAAATTAAATATTACAGTTCGAAACCTTCAAAATTTTGCGTATAAAATCAATTAACATTCATTATTGTCTCTAGTAACAGAAATATATTTATTTTTATTTGCCAATATATAAGAACACTTTGGTAAACATCATGGGAAAGAAAATGGAATAAAAAACAAAAGACAATCATTTCTTTTTAAAATATAGTTCATAAACATAAAAACAGACGATATGCTTTTTTTTATAATGTTCTAGACGTTTTACACGAATCGAAAAAGATCTTCTTTTATCCATCTACAAACGTCGTTCAGCAATAAAAGATTATCGTTTCTCTGTTTCTTACGCTGCTTATCTACTCGGTGATCGTTGTATACGTGGAATATCTCGTGTATGGACATATCTTAATCCCGATATACAAAAAGGTTCATTTACACCAAATGAAGACGCTATATTACTTCAACATGTCAATAAAACTTCGTCAATATGTTGGTCAACATTAGCTGCTAATCATCTACCTGATCGATCAGCTGTTCAATGTCGACAACGTTATTCGCAATTAATTAAAGTTCGATCGACTGAAAAGACAAAAGAAAAAAATCAAAAAGTATGTGTTTTGCATAATAATCATTTGAACCAAATAAAAAGAGATCTTGTTCTAATAAACACTAATCTTCAGTGGTTAGAGAGAAATTAAAAGTTTCTTATAATTATGTTTATATGTTTTGTAATATATGTTTGAGATTATATTTATAAATTTTTCTGAATGTCTGACAAAGTCCTTGAAACTGACCTAAGAACGATTCAATGATGACTATATTCAGTGAACTATGAAATCAATGTGACATAACCGAACTAATTTACCATTAAGAGCAATCATAGGGACAAAAATAAAAAAATAAGTATTTTTCAATAGAGCATCAAAGAAAAATATTTATTAAAACGTTTTTGTCTTTTTATATTTCTAAAAAAGGTCAGAATTCTTTTTTTTTTTGTTCTTTCTTTTTTAGACAAATTCTTCTCGTCGAACGAACTATATTCAATGGTTACAAAAACAACCAATTCATACCCAAAATTTTCTGGAACAGTTTTATTCAAATTCCCGTTTGACTCATTTACAAAAATCAATAATTGAAATGCATACAAATAAAATTGAATTATTAATGGAAAAATTTTATAACAATCAAAACAATACCACTAAATGTTTACCATTAAGAGAATTCATTCTTAAACTTAATATGCCAACGGTGACTATTGATGAAATCTATGTAAAATTTGTTAATAATATGTGATATAAATAATATTTTTTTTTTGTTCTGTTGTCTATGTTATGGACATATGACGTGAAATAAGTTTTATACATTCAACAAAAACGAAGATAAAGAAGAACAAAATATATGAAAATACTTTTTTTTTTGTCTGGTATGATAATGAGATTTATGTTTTCCTGTAATTAAAAAGGAAGAACAAAAATAAAGAGTAATCACAGAGATGATGAAGGACGTTGTTCATTTTTATAAGCATGAAGTAAACGTTTTTTTAATGGTACACTGTGACCAGATGACGATGGTGGTGACGATAATGAGGCATTCGATGGATTAGATATAGCAGAAAATGATCGTTGCATTGGAATTTCATATATATCTGGTCGATTATGTGTCGCCTTAAAATAAACAAATAAAACAAGTTATTAGCAGGAAATGTCACAGACTGATTTCTGTTTTTGAATAGGTCACAGATATGTTTTTCTTCTTGCACTTAATGTCTAATGAATGGAGTTTATTAGGAATGTCACAAATATTTTTCTACAAGATATGCAGGTTTTTCTTATAAAAATTTTCTTGATAGCTGGATGCATATAATAGTTCGAATTAAACCATTGATATTACTCTTGGTTCAATGAATTTGATTAATATAATCACGTACATATAAAAAAATCAAGTAGGTTACACTATCTAGCAACGACACAATACATGCGAATTGTATTTTTCTATGGATACTTCCATGGGGTAGTTAACCGCAAGATTTGCAGAAGATTTTTTCGTCTGTAGGGCTCATTGGATTCATCATTTTGGTACACAAAAAAATATTCGAATTTACTCAGTAAATCAGTCTTAGGACCAAAATACTCGAAAACATCAACTACCGCTGAGAAACAGTCAAGAATAGCCAATTTTTTTCAGTATTTTGGTCCTAGCATCATGATTTATTGATTAAATTTGAATATTTTTTCTTACCAAAACGATCAAAGTAATGAGCTCTTCAAAGATCTATAGACGAAAAAATTTTCTGAGAGCCTTGTAATTTTTGCGGTTGACTATTCATGAAACTATACATCAAAAATACGATTCACAGGCACTTTGTCAATGGTAATATATTATTTAATGGAAATATTAGAATCTTTATCGATAGAATACATGGAAACATAATTCTTTTAAGTACTATAAATAAAATGACTTTGAAATGGCACATGATTTTTATATACAATAATAAAATGAAAAACTGTTTATGATTATTTATGTATTGCTATCAGTAGCAAGGAATATATTTTAATAAGAAGAATACTCAGCGAGACTAATGTAGATTAAAAAAACATTTTCTACTTTATTTTAAATAAGAACCATTTTAAAATTAAAAATAAAACAAGACATCATTAAAAATTTAAGGATAGCAATTCACTTTATGGATTTTTATTCTAAAAAAGTCAATTCTAAAGAGGCCCCGTTTTTTACCCTAAATGTTATGACAAAATACAAAGTCTTTTTTAATATAATGTCATTTTAAATATGCTTTTATGAAGATTTTCATCCTTTATCTTTTCATATCTCTCAAAAGTACTTTACAGGACATTAAATAGAAAAGGAACTATTAGTATTCGTTTCTATCGATTATATTTTATTACAAAGAACTCTTTATTAATTTTTTCTTCTAATATTATTATAAAGAAAAAATTTTTTCATTCTTGTATCTTTTTTTCATGTCAGTACAAGTCAGTTTTGTCTTACTCTCGTTTTTCGAGCTAAAAGAAACGATTTCAAAAAGAGCATATTTTTCGTTCTACTGCTTGTCGCAATATTTACTTTCGTTTTATGTGATGACGTTGCAATTGTTTGATTTGGTATAATAGAAGGCGATGATGTATTAGGTGATAAAGGTGAAACCGGGGTTGGTAATGTTAATTCAGCTGTTATTGGATAACGACAACAATTGTATGATGGTGATGGTGATGACGAAGACGAAGATGAAGAAGGTGTTGTAGACAGGCGGTCATGATGAATTTTAAATTGTGCATAGGCTGGCGAATTTATATTTAAGTTATGATAAGTGAGTGAAGATGAATTAGTTGTTGAACTGTTCATTGGTAATGAATATTGTTGTTGTTGATTTTGATGTTGGTGATGAGGACGATGATGTGATGTATCAAAACGATATAAATCATTTTGATGATGAGGAGGACGATGAATCGATGTTGAATTTAACGATGATGGTGGTGAACAATCAAGTTCAAATGGATCACGTATAGTAAATGGAGCATTATTCGATGATTTATTTATTGTTGGTGTTGGTATTGGTGGTTTCGGATTGACTCTTTAAAGTATTTTAAAAAATAATTTAAAAATAAATACATTATTTAACTTTTGTATAGTTTACCTTTTTCGTTTTAATTTTGATGGTGACAGTGATTGAGTAGTATTAGGTGTATTACGAGCGCTAGTGAGATTCTGAAATATACTTGGTGTTGAACCTATCAGACGTACTTAAATGATTTTGTTTTATTGTCAAAAAAGATAAATTTACTATTTCTAGTAAGTGTTGACGGTGCATGTTCAATATCAAGTTCTCGACGTATTAAATATTCAAAGTCTTTTGAAAATTCCGGTGATGATGGTCGCGCTTTTGTTGTTATCGTCGATGTACCATCATTTCTTTCTTAAAATGAAAAAACAAAAGAAAAATAAAGAAAATGATGCTAGATATATGTAATAATTTTAATGTACCTGCATTCATTAGTAAAGTTCTTGTAATAGAACTACGTGAACGTTGAATTCCCGTATCAGTTCCATTATCACTATTATTAGTTACACTTTGACTTGATTGATCATCAAGTATTTGTTGATTAATTTCTTAAGAAATCAAAATACAAATGAAAGAATTCCAATTGTAAATAAATAATTAACCTTCATATTGTTGATTATTTAATGGTTGACCACCAAGTAATTTTGCTATAGATGAAGCTCGACGACGTTGTTGTTCAGTTGTACCTTTTGAAGGTTCTAAATATATTTACATTTAATAGATATCTTCTAGTAAAACATCTATTTTTTGTTTTAATTAACAATCATTTACCTATGGTAGGCAATGGAGAAGATGGTGTTGTTTGAACATGATTTGTTTGAACAGGAGAAAGCATAGAATTTGTTGGAATGTCAGTAATATTTAACGATGTATCATTAGAATTTGAATTATCGTCTATGACAAGTAAAGTAGGACAAGACGGTGACGAAGATTGTGACGGCTAATAATGCAATCAAGTAGAAAATCAAATGAAAAATATACGCAAGCATTATTTTTTTTCTATGTCATTCATATTAATAAGAGTAGAACAACAGGAAAAAGTAAAATCAAATGTTACATACATTAGAAGTAACAGGCGGTGTCGTTCCTTGTCGTGTTTGTGAGTTATCATCAACATCAGCGCTGTTTACTTCATCGATACTTGACAAGTACATAGTTTTGTATAAGCTAAAAGGATCTGAAAAGAAAAAAAAAACATGGACTCAGTTTTATTTGATTAAATCTTTCATTTATTTTTTTCTCTCAGGTCGTCGGGTCCTACAATATTTATACGCTTTGTGAATTGAAACCTTTACTTCCTTTTTTGTTTTAAGTACTTTCTACTTTTTCTTCATTTGTTTTTATTCAAGACAAAAAATAATAGTATCATTTCTTCTAAAAATGTAAAATTAGAACCGAGCGAAAAAACCTATATTCATATCTATTTATAAATATCAATAGACTAATGAACAAATAGATATTATTGGTCGAGATTCACACTATTATTAGGACGTATGGTTGTGTAACGATAACATATGCATTCACACACTTGATATAAAGAATAAAAATGATAACGAGTGTTTGCTTTTTCATAACGCTGAGTTAGACAAATATATAGAAATTACACACACGCATAAACTTGTAAAAGAGAAGGTAAATTGTTAGTTGCAATAACAAAAGTAGTGTGTGTTTCTTATTCGACTCTTCATCCTCTCTTTCCTCTTCGACTTTTTCATCTCAAGAAAGTGAATGGTATGAGTGCACAGAATGATATTTTTTCTTTTCACAACGAACAGACTCACTTGCTGACTGACTGGCTGGGAGTAAAAGGAAAGAAATGCGTGTTATAGCAAAAGAAGCCGAAAGAATGAAAAAAAAAAAACTGGAGAAAAAGAAAGAGAAGAAGCAGAGCCGACGGATACGAAAAAGAGTGGATTGTGTGCAACCATGCAAGCGACAAGAAGAAAAAGAAAGGCATATTCGAACTTCTATGGATGTCATTTAACACAAAAAGAAAGACAAACACAAAACACACTAACATTTAGGTCGATAAGTATGGAATATGCAAACATCTACATATCTAGTAGAAAAAAAAACTTTGTCTAACGACAAAGAGAAGAAGACATGACTAGAAAGTGCGCAAAAGAGAAAAATAAGGAAAACAAAGAATACACTCATATGTATATATCAAATATATCTATATATAGATAGTATTAATTATGTATACATGCATTATTAAACTCAAATCTACTAAGAAAAGTATAAAATAGATTCTCATTACTTTTTCTTTTTATTAACGTACGAAACACAGACACCTTTTGTTTAACCTTTTCAATTCGTCTTTTAAGTAATATTTGCATGTTTTTCTTTGTACTAAATCAAAGAAAGAAAAACGGACTATATATTTACATTGCCGCCTTGTTTGACATGAGCATCTAATATTGACAGAAATGATCATGAAATCTATGAAAATAAAAATCAGGAATTGTTATTTTTGTTTTCTATCATTACACAAAATATTTGTATTTTTGTTTTTGTATCGAATGATTTAGTAAAAAGAATTATTACCAGACATATTTTCAAATGACAATAGTTCAAAAAAATGTGTATAGAAACTATTCACAATTAACAATTATGAAAAAGACGAGCCTGTACAACAGCTTTTGCTTTTAATAATTGACAGGAAAGAACTTTTCAAATTGAAGTACTTGAAAACTTATGATAGTCGAGAAGAAAAGAATGATAGTAATAGTTAAATATTTTTATTGAAATGATTTTTTTTTTCTGTCTAATTAATGAATTTATATGACTAATCTTGCACTGAAATAAAAAAAATCGATGAAATATTAGAAATGCAATAGGGAAATCTTTCAAATTAAGATTAATAAAATAATCTATAGACATATATAAAAAATTCAATGCTTTTCTTTAATATCCTTTGTGAATAAAAACATCTTGGAAATGACTTTACACCATCTGTTATTTCTCAAACTTGGAGTATTTAATAATCATTTCTATTAATATAGCATTTTTTCGACCTGTCTTATTTATTATTCATGATGGCATTCTTTTTTATATTCGAAATATCAGCTATTACGTGACAATGTTTTTTATCATTAACCTCGATTAAGTTTATTAGTCGAGAATAAACATTTTCTTTTATTTTAATGATTGTAGATGACTACTGAAAAACATGAACAAAAAGCATCTGTCATTAATAATGATAATATAAATCATGAAGAAAAACAATATCTTAATTTAGTTAAAGAAATTATTGAAAAAGGTGTCAAAAAAAGTGATCGAACAGGTATCGGTACACTTTCTATATTTGGTCCAACAAATATGCGATTTAATTTACGAAATGGACGTTTTCCATTATTAACAACAAAACGCGTCTTTTGGCGTGGAGTTGTTGAAGAACTTTTATGGATAATTAGTGGAAAAACGGATGCAAATATACTCGATGAAAAAAATGTTAAAATATGGAATGATAATGGTACGAGAGAATTTCTTGATAAACTTGGTTTTACTAAACGTCAAGAAGGAGATCTAGGACCGATCTATGGTATGTATCAATAATTAAATACTCATAGATTATTAATCATAGGCGCATATGCATGAATTTAATTGTTTGTTCGATTCTGAATGATTGACATTCTTCAATAAGACTATTATTGTTGTTAGACATGGATAAGGTTATTGAGTACAATTGAGGAATTATCAAAATAAAAAACAAATTCTTAATGAAGTAATTATGACGAATATTATCAATGTGTTTGAGGTTTTACATAAGCATTTATTTTTATTAAAAATTCACAAGAAAATTATTTATTACTGTTAAAATGTAATCGTATTACGGTTCAAAATACTATCTTAATTTATTCTAAGCGCATAGCACATTAGCTAGTTTAAAGTAGAACTATTTTCTATTAATAAAATATCGTTAAAAAATAGTTCAACGTTTTTATGATTTATTTCTTAAAACTTTTTCATCCAAAACATCGATTAATTAACAAAATCTCTATGATTGAAGTCCGTCAAATGGTTAATCACTTATGATTCGAGATTATCAATATAGTGTTGACCATAATGAGTTATGAATACTCTGAAAATATTTGAGATCCTTAGTTTATTGTTGTGGAAATGCTGCATTTTTACAGTTTTTGTTTTTTATGGCAATATCATGTTCTACCTCAGAAAAACTCATTTTTTAATTTTGACTTGAAGTTTTGCATCGAGTGTAGTTGATTGTGATAATTGCAGATATTTTCGTTATTTCTATTCTTACACATGACTATACTAAAAGTGTGTCGTTTACATCGTTGATATACATCAGTAGTTTTGATATTCTTACTCCAAGATAAAAATAAATCAAAGGATCTGAAACTTAAAAAATTAATTATTCTGGTTAAGATCTGTTCATATGCAAATTTTTAAGTAGAAATTCGAAAAAGAGTTTTCCTTGCGTTTCTAAGAGAGAGCGCAATATTAACTTTAAAAAACTGTAAAAATTCAGTATGTTCGCACTAATAAGCCAATGACTCAAACACTTTTCAAGGTGTTCATAGCTCATTAGGGTTTACATAATGCAGATAGTCCCGATTTAAAATCATTAAATCGGTTGAGCGACATTACTCGTTAGTATAAATTTCTTATCACCGATAGAAAGAACATTATTCGTCTGATAATGTATTTCTAAGGTGCAAAAACATGGAGTTTCTTAACAATTGAACAGCATGAATAGAAAACTTTTTTTAAGCTGAAAGTTTTAGCGTGTTGTAGTGGCCAAGAGAACCAGAGATAGGCAAAATTTCCGACTGAATGCCTACTGTTTGGTATGTATGAAAACATCTTGCATTAGATGAAAAAAAAAGTCATCAAAATGACCATAATCTTCAAAGAAAGCTTCATCTGCACAATACTTACCCAAATTTTTTTTCGAGTACCGTTGCTAACGTATGAAAAAAATATTATCGAAAACGATATGAATCATTTGAGATCTTTCATTAATAAATAATACCTTTTGTTTGTTCCTGTGGAGAATATACCAATATTTTTCATAATTTGACATGGTAATTGTCTTAGTCGTTTGTTGTTATCCTACTTCGACATATTAAAACCATGTATAGTATACTTAGCATTCATATTCAAGTAAGTTTCTACTTATTGAAGTTTGTTTTATTTCCAGAATAGATAATTTTCAATAAAATTTTTTTCACATAAGAGTATTAATTATTCTGATATGAAGGGATATTATGATTTGTCTAATTATGATAACATTCTATAGGTTTTCAATGGCGTCATTGTGGTGCAAAATATATCGATTGTAAAACGGATTATACAGATCAAGGTATTGATCAGCTTGCTCAATTAATTCATATGATTAAAACAGATCCAGATTCACGTCGTCTTGTCTTATGTGCATGGAATGTAAGTCAAATACCTGAAATGGCTTTACCACCATGTCATGTATTGTGTCAATTTAATGTATCAGCTTCTAAAGAATTGTCTTGTCTTATGTATCAACGTTCATGTGATCTTGGTTTGGGTGTTCCATTTAATATTGCATCCTATTCTTTACTTACTTATATGATTGCACATGTATGTGATTTAACACCAGGTGATTTTATTCATACAATGGGTGATGCACATGTTTATCTCAATCATGTTGAACCATTACGTGAACAAATCCAACGAGAACCACAAGCATTTCCAACGTTAACAATTGTTAATAAACGAAACTCGATTGATGATTTTCAAGCTGCTGATTTCAAACTTGAAAATTATTTACCAGATCGTCCTATTAAAATGCAAATGGCAGTGTAAATAAACTATAAATTACAAGATATGTACAAA